TTGAAAAAATCGTTTACGCTATTTTTTAGAGGATTCATATTTAAGAAGGTTTAATAGTTAAATAGCTTTTTCTGCTCTAGGGTTGTCATCAGTGGATCGCTGCTTTTTTCCCAGGCTTCTTTCTGAAAAGTATTGTAAAAGTCGTTTTCATGGCGTTTTAAGATGGAATTGCAGACGGAGGTTTTTCCCAATAAATTAATTTTAATTACATATTTTATGGATTTTTAGTGTTCAATTTAGACAACCACGACATTTTATAAATACAATTTGATTTTATTTATAATTTTAAGAATTATTTGAGACTGGTTCTAGCTTCCCTTCTTCCGCTGAAAGGAAATTTATTTTTGATGTCCAGGAGAACCGAAATCTATCCATAACATTATAAATAACACAGTAGATATTTATAATATGTTGCAGTAATTTTAGACTGCAGAAAATATACCTACCGTGTTCATAAATATTGGTTTACTATTCCTAAGGAGTAAAAGTCAACAAATAAAAAGAAATCACAATTTTTTGAAATTAAAAATTCCTAACATTTCTGAAAAATAATTTAAAGGTTGAATTTGACTGATAACACGTGTAAGTTTAAAACACAACTTTAATTTGCTCAATGTTAAAAATTATAACGAATAATTCGGGCTCAGTGACTACTATGCGCCGGGAGTTCCTGGAGAAAAAAACACTTGTAATTAGCCGATGATGGTCTTTTTTGATCAATTTTGGCTGAAGGTCATAATAAAACACCCTTTACCAATCCCATAAAATGCACATTACGTTCATGAAGTGTAATCCGGCTTTTGGAATTGTCAACAGTGTGTCGCTGCTTTTTTCCCAGTCTTTGAATTGTTGTAAAGGGCTTCACCCTGTTATCAATATTTTTAAAAATGGGTCGTTTGCAAGCCCTTTTAAGATAGAATTGCAGATGGATATGAAGTTTCATAAATTAATTTCAGTTAGCGTATGAAGTATCCATGTCTGAAAAACCTAGCCAGCTAACCTCATACCTTGCAACGCTTTTATAAGATAAGTTAAGTCTCTGCAATGTCTCATATCGTTGAGTGTATGTTATTTATGACTAAAACTTGAATTTAGTCATTATCAATGGTTGCAAAACGACCAGGGTAAGTTTGCATCTTTCAAATCAAAATTTCCGCTTCTGAACCGAATAAACTATTAAAACAGCGCTTTATCCTATTATCATACAAGTCACAAATTTTCTTAGCAGTTTAATCTGCAGTTTTGTTCCCTTTGTCGTAAAAAAATAACAAAAATTCATTGTTTTGTTATCAATTTTAAATTAGCCTCCTTCTAAAAATACGAGATCTCAACGCCCTTGGATGATCAATTCTTTTTTATGAATATGTCATTTGGAATCCATACAAGAGACATCAGTTGATGGCATTGAAGGCTGTCCAAAGACATTGGCCCTCCATATGGTCCAGGAAGGCTGGAATTTTGAGCCTCTAAATTTCAGATTATTGCCAAATTTAACCAATTTCATGATGCTGCTTCTCCATCCGCTTCAAGACAAAAAATCCTCTTTTTCCTTCACATGCTCGCATTTTTCTATTGTGTGTCTTAGGTTCAATTTGTTTCTATGAGCCTGGAGTATCTCCATTGACTGAACTTGAAACTCTGCACTCATAGTCTTTTGAAAAATGTGTCTGTCTGTCTGTCTGTCTGTCTGTGTGTCTGTGTGTGTGTGTGTGTGTGTGTGTGTGTGTGTGTGTGTGCGTGCGTGTGAAATGTGCACAAAATATAAGCCACTAAATGTNGTGTGTGTGTGTGTGTGTGTGTGTGTGTGTGTGTGTGTGTGTGTGTGAAATGTGCACAAAATATAAGCCACTAAATTTCAGATTTTTACTAAATTTAACGAATTTCATGAAATTCATACAACCTTCATACAAACTCGAACTTTTCAATCGTCCGTCTTAATTTCAATTTGATCCGATGCGACTGGAGTATCACCAAGAACAGAATGAAGTTTGAAATATTTAAAATTTATTTAGGAAATATTATTTATTCGAAAATAAATTGCCCCAAAAAAAGGCAAAAGTCATTAAAACCTATCGATTAAATGCTTTTACAATTAATATATTATTTTGGTGTTGTTGTTTTTTTATATAAGCGGCTTACCTAATCAGACTTACATTTTTTAAACGTAATAAATTTTTTATTGGTCATTGGAACGTCTATTGTCTCTAAAGTTGCAGACCGGCATGACTTCATGGATCAGATTAAAGACATTAAAACAAATAGTACCTACAAGTATATAATAATATATTATTAAGATAATATCTGTTGCTAGCATGTTTTTTTTATGTTCGCAAACCTGATACTTCATGTAATTACGGTCATAAAAGGAACGCTTAACAGCAATTAACGGCTCGAGAAAATGATTGACGAAGAAAATCTACTGATATCACATTTTCATTTTTTGTGAAATCTATTGTTCGTTATAAAAATTAATTTCTTGATTTTTTTTCTTTCAAATTCTATCCATTTTTATTTATCCAATACCTGTTTACAATTTTATATTATCGTCGTCATTTCATTAAAAGCGACCTGTGCCCAACAGGGATATAAGCAGGGCAAGACGATAACCACTCTTTTTCGTGCGTATGTTTTTTTTTCTCTTGGACACAACACTGATACTGACACTGAAACATGATCAAACCATTCATCCAATCAAACAAATATAACCTCTAGAAGGGTATTTTAAGCTTGTAATTTTTTATTACATAATTATTTATTTGTAGCATATGCATATAAAAAATATGTGAGCTATGTTTTTCTTCTGGTTAGAACACTGACTCTGGCACTCAATATGAAGGAATCTATTCGATGACAAAAAGACTGGTTAAGATCGTTGATAGTAAGTTTTGTGGCATAGTAAAGAGCTTTGACAGTTTAACTGGGGAAAATTGGATGCTGTGGATGTTGTGGATGTTGGGTGGCTTGACAGTACCGCAAATTTCACCTCGGTATGTCCAAAGTGGTAGCAGGAAAGTCTTGAAAAAGGTTGGTTTAGTTTTGAGGGTCAAGGTGGATTTCGGACTTAGAAGTTTTCGTAATTCTCCACGTCTTCTGTTAAGTTGTCTCTTAAGTCTTGCATTGGGATACCTCATCAGTCTGCTATCTATGTATAGTCCTAAGTGTTTCACTTGATTATACGTCAGTATCTTTTTTGTGCTGATCTACAGTGGAGATCAAGACTGTTTTTTTTTTCTTTCCCCAATGTGAACCTACACTAGGTACTCTTCATTCAATTTTGATCTATGTAATTGTTTGCTCCATTCTTCGATAAGCTCAAGTTGGTCGTGGACGTTTTCAGTATTAGAAGTACCGACCACTTTTTCACATACGAACACTGGATCAAGGTATGGTCTTTAAGAAGGTTACAGTCCTTGGCAATGTTCGGACTGAGTCAGTCTTCAAGTAAATTTGAGATCGCCTGTAAAAACATAATTTGTCAATCTGTAGACATATTTAAGGTTATTTTGCCCTAATGACCTTAAAATAGGTCGAAAGCTTAGCAGTAGCAACTAAATTTGCTTTCTTCTTTACGATCATACTTTGATCCAGTGTGTGGATTCTTGGATGTTGGCCTCAGCATGGATAGAATTCAAGTCAGAGAACAATATTCCACGTCAGTTTGTTGTTTAGGTATAGACCTAAGTATCTGTCTGGGCAGAAGACAAAATTTAAATGTTAAGGTATTGGGATGTATAAGAAATTCAGCAGTAGGTAAAAAGGGAGGGGCCAAAAATGCTCCCTTGGGGAGTACCGTCCTGTAATAATTCCGATGTCTGAATACTCATTATCGTCGTGGGTCATTTCTGCGAATTTTGCTCATGTCAAACGCGAACGACTTTCATTTCCTGTAAGTATGATTTTGCGTACTTGTGTCTGTTTGGTCTGTAGGATAATTTTTGTAAAAATCTTATGACAATTGGGTATTGACGAAATATAAGACATTAGATTCCATGTTGTTGCAAAAGTTAACAATTTGATGACTATACCACTCATTGTCTATAAGGCAAAAAAACCTTCTCTTTTTTCCCCTCAATACACATCATTGTGTGTACTAAGTGTTTGTATCATCAAAATTGAAAAATCTCAGACGGGATGAGGCAAAATTTTGCATATCTGTGGATTTCACGTAATTGAACGACAATAGCTTGCAGCAAAAGCAAAATCAAACAAAAGAACTAGCTATCTTTTTCCATAAAGTTTTTACATAAATAAATTTTGTAAGTCATCACCCTGTTTGAACTAACATATCATGTCTGTATGATCATTGCAGTACTGTATACAGACTATTTTGTGATATTTTTATGGGTCTTTTGATTCCCGATCGTGACATCTACAAGTGGTAATATTCGATTCCTGTCATGACAGTACAGGAGTAATGTTTTGAACTATTTTCCTAATCTAGGATCTAATAATTAGGTTAGCTAATAAAACTATGAAATCTCAGTGGAAATTAAACTGTATAATCGAAAATTGGCCAATTAATTCGTCAACCAAGGAGCCGATATCGAGGGGCAAGGTTTTTTTGGGACATTATGAAGTCTTGTTTACGTAACCAGCCTGATAATCTTGACAAAACCACATCCATTTCAAAATTGGAGCACATGTGAGCCCCAGTCGCGGCCCACAACTTTAGAGAGAAACACGCTTTTTTTATTGTTGTGATATCGATTGTATTATACAACTAATCGAATCGAATTCCATCTAGATAACTATTGGAATTTTTAATTATTCGCGGAAACGAAAAACACGCTTTATTTCTCTCACGGACCGGTTTGTCACTTGGTTGCATCATTAACGAGCGAGACAAACAGAAACCACTTCATTAATATAATTTCTTATCTCAACATCAAATTAGATAACGATATCACTCCAAATATTCAGAAAAATATTCACCAAGGTGTAAAAGCACACATCTGTTAAAATATCTTCTGGCCTGTCAGAGACTGATTAAAGGAGGCATTTTACAACCATCAATCATTCAAATCATACATATCTACTTATCACTTTTTACCAGATTTTGTCAATCCTGTCTTAGTACAAAATCTATTGGGTAATCTAGCAAAAATTCCATTAGTGGCATGTTTTGGTTGAAACGCATATTTTTGATGTAGCATTGATTGACAACTCTGATAAACCGATCTTTCTCCATCGGATACGGTCTAGCTCCACGAGGTCTTAAACGATTCATTAGCATACAACCGCAAGGTAAAGCCCTATACAATCTTTAAAAAATCCTCAAAAACAAATCAAAACTTCTTTTATAACGATTATTATTAACAGCGCTACAAGTTCCTCGTCAGTCGAGGATATAAAATATAATAAACATAAAATACATTATATAAAAATGTATGCATTTAAAACATGATAGTCTGGTTTACATTTATACTACTCCAGAATACTCGATATCCTTAGGGCAATAGAGAGAACCTACATTTTACGCTAATAAATTAAATTCACACGATAACTTATAGGCACTACCCCAGTGTACTCGATATTCCTGGAGTAATATGGGATAAAGTCATTCCATTCACGTGAATAAATACATTCATATTAGATCTCATTCACCCTGCCATTGTACTTGATATTCATTGGTTCATAAGTGAAAAAGGCCCTCCATTCACGCTAATAAATATATTCACATTAGACCTAATTCGCACCGCCAGAGTATTCGAAATTCTTGGAGCAATAGAGGAAGAAGCTCCTTCATTTTATACTAATAAATTAAATTCGCACCAGAACTCATTGACATTGTCACAGTGTACTCGATATTCATGGAGTAAATAATAGGAGAAGAAGCCTCTCCACTCACGCTAATAAATACATTCACATTAGACCTCATTCAAAATGCCAGAGTACTCGATATTCTCGGGGCAATAGATGAAGAGGCCCCTCCATTTCACTCTAATAAAATACATTCATGCCAGAACTCGTTAACACTGCCCCAGTGTACCCGATATTCCGGGGGTAAGAGGAGAAGAAGCCACTCCACTCTCCCTAATAAATACATTCATACTAGACCTCACTCAAACTGCCCCAGAGTACTCTATATTCCGCGAGGGACCCCAAGTGTTCGGCTTTTTGTAGATCCCAGTGTTTTAAGGTATTTAGGCAGTTCCAGGAAAGTTTTTTAATTGATCTCCTAGGCCTGGAGAACCTTTAGAGCTGCCTGACTATCTGAAAGTCCTATTTTGTGTCACTCCTGAGATGTTTAATATTTATTTCATGTGTACATAAAGAAGAGGTGGATCCAGATGAGGTCAAAAGAAAAGAACACGTTTAAGTTTTTTCTTTCCTGCCAAGCTTTCGAAAAATTTTCTTTCATCATCAAAGAATGAGTTATTAACAAATATCGAATTTTAAAAATTTACAATTAGTAATACATATAAAATAATTGCATGAATATAAATAACTCATATGTACATGTTTCTATGGCTAATAATTCGGCTTATTACTGACCCGACGACCGAAATTTCCATTAAAATCAAAACTCCAAATTTTTACGTACTGGAGCCAAGATCGTCCAAATATTCCAATATTCGTAGATTACAAGATCAGAAATTTGACGACTAATAGTGCCTGCCCCCTTTTTTTTTTATGTAAACAATAACATTTTACAGACATCTTCATATGCCAACTGTTTCGTTTTTTCAAGAAACATATTACATATGTTTTCATTGTAAATTACAAGGTCAGAGTAACACACAAATATAATTAATCCATTTCCCACAATTATCACGTAGACTACTGAAAAGAATGGATCATAGGCTTCTTGAATAATTAATGCAAGGCGCCTCCCAATGGATATTTTTCTCTATAATGCCAGTAAATCAAAATAATACATGGCTAGATGTTCAAGGCAAAAAAAAAAAAAAAATACATTGAAATCCATTCTGCTGAAATCCTGATACGGTATATGAAAATAAATAAAGTCAAAACACTAAGGACTGCTTAACATCAGGTTAATCTTGTTACTCTTTTTTAATACCTACAGTAATAATTGTCATTATTTAATAAAACTATTGTTAATTTGTTATTTTGCTGTTTGATCCATAACACCACGAGTGTTTCTAGTGTTTGCATAGGTGTGAATATAAAAATAAAAAATCCTGTTCATTAGAAATCTGCTAAAATAAATCTTCTATTTGTTTTTGTCTTAATTTAATTACTACAATAAATTAAGGATAATTTTATTGTTAATGCTTTTTTAATATTTTAAATTTGTTGTATTGTATTTTGGTGGGAATGTAAAAATAAATAAGTCCATGACGTAATCAAGGACGAAAATGGACATCCTGCCATGCATTGAGGTGAGAAGTCCTGGGTATCGTGTGTAACCTACCAGAACGTGTAACCTTCATCCATACCAAATGTATACTGTTCATACCAGAGTTTTCTCAAGCTTTTCTTATTTTATTTCATTATTTTTTTAGATAATGTTTATAAGTATTGGAAATTGTGCTACTCGTGTATAAAAATTAAATAATTACAAGATCCAACTTATGAACTTGTTTGTTTTTATTATCAAGGGATTTTATAATGGTAAATCTTAAGAAATGTTTGATTTTCACTAATTCAAGAACTGTGACTTATTTACAATAAATTAACATTTGGTGTTTCGTTACCCTTATATATTCATGATAGTCCTATCTAGCATAATACACTTATGTTTAGTGAGTACTGCCGGTATGAATGCTACAAACCATATGCTGAGCCGGCACTGGGTACTTATTGTGTCTTCAATCAGTTGAACTGCTCATAGTAATTCATTAGTGAGTAGCTGAACAAGCAAGTCAAAATGGAACCAATAAGCAACCCAGTGCCAGTTCACCAACTCGTAGACGAAATTCCAGCATCAACTCTAGTAAAAATGTATTTAAAGAACGAACAAAGGAATCTTTAGATTATTTATTATTTGTTCGAGTTCAAAAGCTTGTTGATAAACTCAACTTTTGGCCTTTCTTCTGTAATTATGCTTCAGGTCTTTTAACATATTTCATTTTATAATTTGACGCTTGTAGATCATGCCTGCCTATCCTATTTGGGTCAGACTTTTCACACTTCGCCATCTTCAGTGAGGCTAAGATGATGATTGAGTTACAGGTTCATCCCGAGAATAAAACTAATTTAAATTCATTCTTATATAAAATCATTACTTCGGTCTTTGATTGATGGTCTTTGATGTACTTAAGATAACTCAACTATAATCCAATAAAATTGCCTAATTCATCAGGTATTCCGTAAAAATGTAAAAGCGTTTAATACTTTTACAGAATTTGGGAAATTTTCATGGCATACTTTGCTTAATGTGATATCACCGACCTATTTCCTCATGTATTGCCTGTCTGTCATCTACCTGGCCATCTATGATCTATTGATACTTAACACGGACCTCTTTGTACACTTATCTTGGTGTGAGATTGCCTTACCGAAGTGGCTTTACCTCCAGGCTAGTGTCTCAAATTCTCGAAGCATATGTGCCTATGTCTCTCCAGACAGAGTTGGCATGTTTCTGTCTGCTTTGCTCGTCGGTGGTAGTTAAGAGGGTGGCCGGTATAGAAGCCTATAATATCCTCAAATTTTGCCTTATGAAAGATCTAGGAGTTTCTTTTTGAAATATTTATGAATCTAAGCTGACCTTGTGCTTTATCCAGCTACAACTTTAGTACATTCTTCAGTGTGCCTATTTTGAGGTTCCAGACCCATGGGTGCTGTCATGCCCCTTCTCTGGTTAATTGGTTAGCCTCTTGATGCTGAGGAAGTTCACCAATCTTTAAATTTTAGTATCAATGGACTGAGTTGGGATGTACACTATTCAGTTTCTAATCGCCCCCCCCCCCCTATCAGTTTGCCACTATTCTGCCAAAATGGTCCAATGATCAACCATTTGATTTAAAAAAACATTTTCAAATATTTTTCATTTAAAAAAAATATATATTGTCATTAATAATAATTTTGGTATGATTATCCTCGATGTTTCAGCTTTTCACCATCTTCAGTGTGTCTTTATACATAAATTTATGTTTCACCAAACTAATTTATTCAACATTTCTAGTGCAATAAGTCAAACAAGGGATAAGCATGTTGTATTCAAATATCGTAAATATTGTTATGGAATTTTTGGAAGTTGTGATTCACCAGTTGTTGTACGTTAAAAAAATATACCCTGATGGAATATTTCTGACAAAACGGAAGTACGGAGTTCCTATTCATGTAAGAATGGATTTTTTTAATATGACGTACAACATAACGCTGTGATTGATAGTAATTTTTATTTTCTCAGGTGTCAGCATATCCACCATTAAATGATTACATCAGTAAATCGCTTTCAACCATCAAATTTATTTTAGATAAAAAAGATTTACAACAATTGGATATTTGCTTTTATGATCCTAATTCTAAACTAATTGAAAAAATTGTTTTTTATTTCAATAAAATCATCACTGGACCTCAAGAACTGTATGTTATAGATATTAAATTAATATGCCTGCTTAATTATTAAAATATAGCAATAAAAATATCATTGACAGTGTGGAAGATCCATATTTAGTCCATCTTACAGAGGTTTTAAGAGCATTTTGTTTAAAACTCACAGTCAGCACAAATTACACAACACCTTTACTTGAAGGATCCACGTTTAAATTTTGCATACACACAACGGAGTCTACATCGTATATTTTATCTGAAGATGCTGAACATAAGGTGATTTTATACAATTTAATTTATTACATTTATAAAATGAGCATTTTTCTTGTTTAGGAGTTTCCATGGTATGTGACAGAAAGTAGAGAAATTAATATCGACGACAGCACAATAACACCAATTCGTACAATAGAGCATGAATTTATGAACATCGACATTTACTGCGAGGAAAGTTCATCGAAATAAAAAAAAGCATTGTGATTGAATGAAGGTTTCTTCGGGTGAAAGTTGCCGCTGATTGTTATGGCCCTAGCAACAGCCAGTTTGCTCAATAATTTTTACCGTTGATATTTTACATTAATGTTTTTTGATAGTCAAAAGTTAAAATGAGTGGTATGGACTTAGAAAGATTAGCCTCTGAGTTAAAATCTGACAAAGCTGCAAGGTATGTTTGTTAAACTTTACTTAAATTAAAATTAATAATGCATTGGATCTTTTAACCCTAGGGATGCACTTATTGAAGATAATAAACGACTTGAAGCTGAAGCAAAAAAGTTGGAAAAAGAATTAAAAACGTTACAAAAAGAGGATCCAAGCAGTATGTTTCTTTTTTGTAAGTTATGGCCTGAGGCATGGCTTTCTGCTATAATTTGATAGCATAGTCTTTCGAATATACAATTTGTAATAATTAAACTTGTCTACAATTTAGACTTAATTATAGGTAATAGTTCTTTTATAGCTTATTTTTCTACTTTATAGTAAACAATTGATTTAATCAGCTCCAAGGAGTCATCGTCCTCAGTTGTGTAATAATTTGAGGATCTTGTGTTCACACGCTGGTCTATTGGTTTGTAATATGTTATTAGTGAGTCTGTTGAGGAGATTTTGCTATAAATCTGTCTTTGTAACTCACAGAAAAAAAAGTCAGAAAATATTAATAAGTATTTTTTCATATAACGATAAAAATTACAAATGCGACAATAAAAACAAAGTTAATCATAACAATTAAAGGTTACCCCAGGACTTGACCAATGTAAGCTTCAAAGTACTAAAATTAATTTTCTGCAAATTATTGCAATGTGTAAAAATTTAGAAGCTACATACAACCTTGTCAATATTGAGACCAAAAGAATCATCAATGCAAATTAAAAGGTATTTCAAAGGTAGCTCTTTAGAGTTAATTTAAACACTGTAAATTTATTTATAAATAAATTTCAGTTTTTATTTAAAGAAAAATAGTGTTTAATTGTTCACAAATAGTCAAAACCACTCTTGCAACAGTGGCATCACATTTTTCAAATTAAACTGGTATATGTTTGAGGTTTGATGAAAATTGTCTTTTTTAATAATTGCTAAGCATACTAATTTATGCTTTTGTCATTTGAAATAACCTCATCCTTTAATTTCCAAAACCAAAAATATAATTAATTCTATAACCACAGGGGAGAACTAGGTCATTCTATAGCAAAAAGTAGATAATTTGTTTTTCCTACTGAGAAAAGCCATATCACCAGTCAGAACAGTCATATTACAATACTTAAAATTAAGAAATACAAATAGTTTTGAGTAACAAAATCATCCGCCTTCCTTGTAAGTAGCAACTCTCTGAGTGCTGTTTGGGCTGTACGAGACAAGTTCTCTGTGGATCCTCTCATTGTGTTCTTGTTAAATAAATGCTGAGCTGGAGCACCTCGGAAAAAGGTGGTTGATGCCTGGTTTCCCTTCAGCCAGAGGGTAATGAACATGCAGACAAAGTGGCTAAAGCCAGGACATCCCCCCTTTCAGACAGCCATTGTGATCAGGCCGTCTGACGCTAAGCTTGTAGTGAAAAACTTTAAAAAAGAAAGATGGCAGTGTCAGTGGGCGGGTAATCTTGCAAGTTAAGAGCATGACTGGTAGATTGCCATCGGAGACGAGGGCTCGTCCTCACCCGATTTGGGATTGGTCATATGTGGTTGACACATGAGCATCTGCTTTTGGACCAAATACTGTGTAGCTGCCCCTTATGCAGAGACATGTTGCTCAGTGTGTCTCACATAATAGAGGTGTGTGATGCCTTGGCACCATACAGAGAGCATGTAGACAGTCCAGATTTAACAATGGTTCTCAACCTCGGCAATTGGTTTCTGGGTCCCCTTTCCATTTTTTGGAGGACATAGGGTTTTTTTTACTGTAAATAGTTGTATTCTATGTTTTTTTTTGTTTTTTTAATGCGTGCATTTATTAGTCTGAGAGGTGAGGAGCTCGGTCCTCCTGCAGTGTGTGTGTGCGTTTAGAATCGATGGCAGAATATTTTTTAAAGTTCCTCATCAACCCTAATTTAAGTAATTATTATTAACTCATTAATATCGAGTACTCTACAGCCTAATCAGAATGAGTGAAATGTACATAGGTAGATTGTATTTATTTGTGCGACTGACATCTAATTTAATTAGTATTAGGCTAAATTATAGTTTGCATGGGTTTTGGGCTGAAATGACCTAGTTGTCGACAGCCCCCGTCGGAGCCTAACCCAGTCAGTAGGAAAACGACGATCTCCTGAGCATGTAGTTTAAGGGGAACACTAGCAACCCAGCCACATAGCTGGGTGGGTGAACTCCCTGATACCCTAGGGTCAGCACATCAGACAAGTGACAACTCTTGAGAGTGAAAGTCCGAATAAACTAATTATAATCATGAGAACAAGCTTTTATGTCACATTTAAATGTGTTCATCTTTATATTGATGTCAGTTTTAATATTATAATTGTGTTTAAAATAATAAGGTGAATTTAAAAGAAAGAAAAACACTGTAAAAACCTTTGGGGAGACCAAAGGATTTGTTGAAGTTGTCAAGCAAACAGAAAAGTCTTCATCAGGAATAATTTGCCTGGATAGTTGTGGCCTAACTCCCAGAAATCCAAAAATATGCATACTAATGGTGAAATAGATGACATTAAAAATGTATTTAAATATATATAAACTGGGATCTTCTGGGAGAATAGGATTCCAGCTCCTCTGGTATATAGATGTCTCTAAGATCAAACTCAGGAGCTGGCATCTATGGAAATAAACAAAGCAGTAGAATTTGTAGAAGCCTTGTTCAATATGCCACCATCTTTCAGGTATAGACTGTGGCCATTGAAAAATGTGCCAGCCATCTATCTATTTGGACAGCCGTGCAGTACTAAAGGCGTCTACCTCATCGGTAGTTTAGTCCAGGGCCATTGGGATTGCATTAAGAACTTTTCAGACATAGGGGACGTGGAAAAATCATAAAGAGGCCAATTCCTTCTAAGCTTAACCATATTATACAAAACTATACAGAGACAAGATCTAATCTGGTTTCACTTCCATTCTACTCTAAATGTTTCCATACAAAGAAATTAAGTTTCAAATACTGAAAACTGATACCTGCAATAAATTTAGACATCTTTGCAATGAAAATGCTTCTACAAGCGAGGAAGCCTCTGGCTGATAAGGCCAGGAAAATTAACTGCTAAATAAATAAGCTAATAAGCTTCTTTTTTTTAATAAAATACTCAATTTATAAAAGCACCCAAAGTCAAATATGCACATAACTATGTAAGTAGTTGGTACATAATTGGGTCTTGGTTTTGACAATCTTTTAAACAGATTTTTTAAGGGATACAATTTGTTGTCACAAGAATAAACAAGATTAAATAACCACTACTATAAAAACAAAAACCTTGCAAATTTTAAAAGCATTCCCCTATAAACTAGGCAATTTTGACCTTTTCTAACCTGTGGCTACAGAAAATAGTTATAGAATGGAAATCAACTGATTGCGTTTGATTAATCAGTTAGCACCTTTATGACCCTTTGTTTAATTTGTGTCGAAACTAATAATTTGCAAGCATCCAGCAAGCGAATAGCAAAAATAGTAAATAGGATTTTATGTCAGTTCAACACAGCTTCACTCGGCTGGTAATTTCACACTATTTTTTGTGATGTTAGGCACTAGATCTAGGATAAATGAACAATTTAAACTTTTGCTAATTTAATATCTATTTTATTATTATTAAAAAGTACACTTATTATTTTGCAATTAATTTTGAACGTTTATTCTTCAGATGAAAAAGCAACACACATTGATTGTGAAGGTTATAGAGAATATATGGAAGCAATGAAATTAAAAGAAAGTTTAAAGAGGCAACTCGCATCTGAAAAAGAACGATTGAGAATTTTAATTGGTAAGTTTTTTAAAATTCTAAATCTGTTGAATAGTACAAAAAAGAAGGGGCGGGCAAGAAAACTAACCATTTTCCAACTTTTCTAAATTTATGTTGAATCCATCTCCCACTCTGCCTTCTTATTCTAAGAAAAATCTTCAAAACTCAATTTCAAGTGTCAAACGAAACTACCCATATTTCTTTTGTCCAAGATGTAATAGTCTCCTGTTACCGCAACTTTCATAAAACCATCCCAACCAACATAAATCCTCAAATCCAAAAACTCAGGTCCTGGTGAATTCCATCAAACAACCCCCACCGACAAAAAGGGCTAACGTTGCAGGATCTCCCATCCAGTAATAGTGACCCTAGTATTAATTAAATATACATCATAGTATCTTTGGAGTAATGTCAATAGGCTGCTTTTCCACTCTTTTTTGTTTTAATTGTATATAATTTTTTTTACACATATTCTCTCTTATTTGTATTTTGTAATCTCAAAATACAAGCATTTACACACGATTATAAGAATAAGAATAGATTCGAGGCTTGCTTATACTTGTAGGATGGCTTCCTACTCATGTAGGAAAAAAACAATGCAATGAAAATATCAACATTATCTGTAATCGAAACTATTTTAATAAAATTTCTGAAGGAAAATATATTTTTCATGTTTAGAATCGAGAACCGATATAACGGAAATGAGCGTCGAACCCCTTTCACAGGTATGTGAACAAAAAGTCTATCGCCGCTGCCATCTCACTGTGTTGCTAACATAAGCATTTTTTTCAGGCTGAACTTATAAGAATAGTGAAACAGTTAGAAAGAAGGAAAGTCGACGCCCAGAGCAAACTGCACGAAGCTGAAAACAGTTTAAATTCCACTGCTAAGGTAAGGAGAACATAATAGACTTAACTTTGGCTTCTCTTTTCCTTATTTTGTACACAAATTTATTGTAGTTTGCTTTGGAATGTTACACAGTAACTTATTGGATATTCTTTATAAACTAAACATAGATTTGTGAGTTATTTATTACATCAGCAGTTGATTCTGTATGCAAGATTTTTTTAATTTAACGGAAGTTTATGCCTTGTAAATAACATATAAATTTTCTTTCTAATTATTTATGTAAAATACAATTGTAGGAATGTTTAACAGATACCTGAAATTGCCATTTGTAAAAACACAATTTTAAAAATGGAACAAGCTTTTTAAAATCATAACAAGATTATTTTTTATTTCGCATTATTTTCCTTTCCGTTTGTTTTTCATTATTGTGTCTATATTGTACAGATTGTTGACTTTGATTTCATTTTTAGGACGTGAATGTCTTAAAATTCATCCTTAATAATTATATTGCAAATTATAGGAAGTAGC